GTATCATATTCAGAATTATATGTGATAAATTTTAAATACTGATCGTTATGGAAAACTTTGCAATGTGAACATTCTTGGGCTTCTCTATTTTTTACAATAGCCATATATTTCATAGTTTTTTTTAGATAGTTACATTTTGATTAAAGAAAATTTTGAGTTACATTTTGATTACTATTTATCATAATCAATTTTTCTATGAAAATTATAAAAGTAATTAATCAAGTTCTGTTTCTATAGTTTGACTCATAGTTTTAGGTTTTTTTGAATGCTAAAATAAATATAACTTTATAAATAGTACTAAAACTCAAATCAATTTGTGTTCATTATAGATCAATCATGTAATTTGAATCAAATCTTTGTGGTAAAAGTTTTTCTATTAAGAAGCTAAAAACAAAATTAATGGACACAATACAATATCTTATCAGAACATTAAATATCTTATCAAAACAGTTTTGATCAATTTTGTAAAAAGGTGAATTGTTAGAGGGTCATATTCAAAACTCTTTGAACTCTACAAAGATAAATGTGGCTGCTATAAAAAAACTCTGAAACTTGATTGTTGAATCCTAACGTTTTCACCATTTTCTGATTCACCACAAAACTTGCAATGTGTTTTATTGTTTGTTCATTCAGTTACATTTTGATTAAAAAAGAATTCAGTACACTTTGATAAATAATTTTTATCATGATCAAATATCTATATATTTTTAGTGGAAATATTTTATTTTGATATTGTTTCCGATTTTTGGATGTAAGAAATAAATAATTTGTTTATACGATACTAAAACTGGAATTAATTTATTTTTGTTGTGAATCGATTCTCTTAATCCCAGTTAAACTTCCTTTGTAAAGTTTTTCTTAATAGAGAGGCCGAAAAACAAAAATAGCAACGATAGTACAATATATATTCAGATAATAAATTGTCTTGTCATCGAAAGTTTTGGTTCATTTTGTCAAAAGATAAATAGCTGAAGCGTCATATTCAAAATTATCAATGATAAAAATTAATTACTAGCCGTTATGAAATAATTTTTTGAAATATGAGCGTTTCCACACTACTCTATTTTTCACAATAAAACCTTCAATATGTTTAATTATTTCTTGAGTTTAGTTACATTTTGATAACTAATTTATCATAATAAAAAACCATAAAAACATAGTTTAGCTATTTAAGTTTTATTTTTTTGAAGTTTACGGTTTTTTTAATAGAGCAATAAATATAACTTCTGTCATAGTAGTAAAACTCATATCAATTTGCATTGATTATGGATAATTCATGTAATCCAAATCAAACCTTTGTGGCCAATAAATTCTTAATTCACAATTTGGAAAACAAATTTAACGGCAATAGTTTCTGGTTTTTCGAATATAGAAAAAAATATAATATTTATAATAGTACTAAAACTCAAATAAATTTGAATTCATTATAGATAATTGATGTAATTTGATACAAATCTTTGTGGTAAACATTTCTCAATTGAGAAGCCAAATAATAAATTAACAGCTAAAATACAATATCTTATCAAAACAGTTTTGATCAATTTTTTATTTGGTAAATAATTAAAGGGTCATATTCAAAACTCTCTAAAAATAAATCTAGCCACTATAGAAAATTTTAAAACGCGATTGTTGAATTTTAGCGTTCCCGCCATTCTCTATATTTTACCACAGAACTTGCAATACGTTTTTTTGTATTCGTTAATTCAGTTACATTTTGATTGAATAAATTCAGTTACATTTTGATAATTGTTTTATCATATGATCAAATATCTATATATTTTTAGTGAAAATATAAATTACACATTTATTTTATTTTATTGAGATCCTGTTCATATATTTGGATATAGAAATTATTAAACTTGAAATTAATTTACATTTTTTTGTGAATCGATTCTCTTAATCCGAATTAAACTTTTGTGGTAAAAGTTCTCTATAGAAAGGCTGAAAAACAAATATAGCTGCGATAGTACAATATATATTTTCAGATGATAAAATGTCTGTTATAAAAAGTTTTGGTCAATTTTGTTAATAGATAGATAGTTAAAGGGTCATATTCAAAATTATCTATGATAAATTTTAAATACTTGCTGTTATGGAAAACTTTTAAATGTGAAGGTTCCCTTACTTCTCTATCTTTCACAATAAAACTTACAATATGTTCTAGACTTTGTTTTTATCTAGTTACATTTTTGATTAAAGAAAAATTCAAGTTACATTTTTATTTATATTTATCATAATCAAAAATCTTTTAGTTTTTTTGAAAAAAAAAATTGATCAAGTTTTGTTTCTTAAAGTTTATTTCGTAGTTTCCAGGTTTTTGAATATAGAAATAAATATTACTTTTATAATAGTACTAAAACTCAAATGAATTTGGATTTGTTATGGATCAATTCATATAATTTGAGTTAAATCTTTGTAGTAAAATTTTCTCAATTGAAAAGGCAAAAAACAAAATTAACGGTTATAGTACAATATCTTATCATAACATAAAATATCTTATCAAAACAGTTTTGATCAATTTTGTAAAAAGATAAATAGTTAGAGAGTCATATTTGAAACTATCTAAAGATAAATGTGGTCGCTATAGAAAACTCTGAAACGCAACTATTGAATTCTAGCGTTCCCGCAATCCTCTACATTTCACCACAAAAGTTTTAATATGTTTTATCATTGTTGATTCAGTTTTATTTTGATTAAAAATAATTCAGTTACATTTTGATTATTATTGGATCATGATCAAATATCTATATAATTTTAGTGGAAAGTAAAACTTAAACATCTTTTATTTTATTTATATCTTGTTTCATATTTTTGGATATATAGATAAATAAAACTTTATAACTATATTAAAAAAGAACTTAATTTGCGTTTTTTGTGAATTAATTTTCTAAATCTGAATTAAACTTTGATGGTAAAGTTTTTCTCAATAGAAAGGTAAAAAAAAAAATTATAGCTATGATAATACTATATATCTTGCAGATAATAAAATGTCTTGTCATATAAAAATTTTGGTCAAATATTTTTTATTTTTGTGAAAATTAAAAAAAAAATAATCAAGTTCTATTTTTATAGTTTAATTCGTAGCTTTCAGTTTTTCGAATATTGAAATCAATATAACTTTGATAATATTACTAAAACTCAAATCAATTTGTGTTCGTTATGGATCAATTCATATAAATCGAATAAAATTTTGTGGTAAAAGTTTCTCAATTGAGAAGCCAAAAAACAAAATTAACGGCTACAATACAAATATCTTATAAGAACATAAAATATTTTATTAAAAATAGTTTTGATCAATTTTGTAAAAAGGTAAATAGTTAAAGAGCCATATTCAAAACTTTCCAAAGACACATGTAACTGCTATAGAAAACTTTGAAACTCGATTGTTGAATCCTAGCATTCTCGCTATTCTCTATTCACCACAAAACTTACAATATATTTTATTATTCGTTGATTCAATTATATTTTGATTTTAAACAAAATCAGTTACATTTTGATAATTGTTTTATAATGATCAAATAAATATATATTTTTAATGAAAATAAAAATGAAGCATTTTTTATTTTATTCAAATCTTGTCCGATTTTTGGATGTAAAAAATAAATAATTTTTATAACGATATTAAAACTGTAATTAATTTGCTTTTGTTGTGAATCGATTCTCGTAATCCAAGTTAAACTTCCATAGTAAAGTTTTTCTCAATGGAAAAATCTAAAAAAAAAACCATGACAATATAGCATATATTCAGATAATAAAATGTCTCGTTATAAAAAAAAAATTGGTCAATTTTGCTAAAAATAGATAGTTGAAAGGTCATATTTAAAATTATCTATGATAAATTTTAAAATACTAACCGTTATAAGTTTAGCGTTCCCGCGCTTTTCTATTTTTTATAATAAAACTTGCATTATGTTTCATAGTTTCGAGTTTAGTTTCATTTTCATTACTCTTTATCATAATAAAAAAAAATATAGAAAAACATAGTTTTAGCTATTCAAATTTTATTCTTTTAGTTTAATACGTAATTTATAAAAAAAATTAATATAGCAATAAATATAACTTTTTATAATAGTATTAAAACTCATATCAATTTATGTTCGTTATGGATAGTTCATGTAATCCGAATCAAACTTTTGTGGTAAGAAATTTGTAAAATCAAAATTCGAAAAACAAAATTAACGGCTATAGTACAATATCTTCTCGGATCATAAAATATTTTATTAAAAAATTTTGATCAATTTTGTGAAAAGGTAAATAGTGAGAGGGTTATATTCAAAATTCTCCAAAAAAGAAAAATGTGGCCACTATACAAAACTCTGAAACGCCTCACTCGTGTGTAATTCTAGCGTTTCTCTCGTCGTCTCTGACCCCTTGCAATCTGCTTCACGTTTCGTCGATTTCCAGGTGCTCCTTCGTTGATTATCACTGCTCAATTCACACGACTCCTTAAATTTTCCAGTTTAATCTTTGTTTCGTTTGATTCGCAGATTTGACATTGTCTCTAGGTTAATCGATTAGGTGTTTGATAGTTCCGTAGGAGTCGTGTGAGTTTCGAATCGATGTTCTTCAGAGGTTTTCTGAAGTTATGATATTTCTAGGGTTTTAGATTTATCTATGATTCCATTTCGCTATTCACGCTTGGATTTGCTAGATTTACTCCATTTCCTCGATTTTCATTTTGTTTTCTCGTTTTCGGTGAAAAGATCTAAGACTACACACACTTATTAGCGATTTTAAGCTATGTTGCTCCATGATCTCTAATCATCATGCTTCTGAAACTTCTTCTCTACAAAGAATCTCTGAAGATTGAGAGCTGTTTCGATTTCTATATCGTTGTTTTTCTCTTTTTCCTCTGTTTAAAGTGTAGCTTGAAAGCTTTCTGCGAAGTTCTTTTTTTATAATCATAACACCAACAGCTTCTTAGTATGGATAATTTTGTGTTAATTCTGATAAGTTAAATTCGTTTTTTTATTAACTCGTGAAATCTGGGTCTCAATTCAATGTTCGATAAAGTTTTAATTGTGCTCTTAGCTTGCGTAAGAGTTTCTGGTTGTTTCTCTTTGGATTTGTGGATTTTCAATTGGATTTAATGGGGTTTTATATGTTCTTGTAGCTTTGATTTTGATTTAGTGTCTCTAGTTTTGCTTGATTGTTCGACATGTATGTGAATGGTAGAAATCACCATCTGCAACGTATTTTGTGTAGATGATGATGACTGTAGCAAACTATTCACATATCCATTTGTGTAAATTGTACTAAACTAAGATTTGTGATGCGTTTATGTGAATCCCACATATGTTAACTCCTTTTTTTTTTCTTTTTAGACATCCTTGAAGCAGAGCATAGCCAAAAATCACTCAACTCTTGGAACATTGAATGATACGGATACACGATCAGGCATGGAGTGCAACAAAGACGAGGCGGCAAGGGCAAAAGAAATCGCAGAGAAGAAGTTCCATATGCAAGACATGTCTGGTGCCAAGAAATTCGCCTTGAAAGCTCAAAGTCTGTATCCAGAGGTAGAAGGTGTTTCTCAGATGATAGCTACTTTCGATGTGTACATCGCTGCGGAGAACAAAGTAAACGGGGAAACAGACTGGTACGGAATACTCAACGCAACTCCGCGAGATGATGATGAAACCTTGAAGAGAAAGTACAGGAAGCTCGCTCTGATGCTTCACCCCGATAAAAACAGCTCTGTAGGAGCCGATGGAGCATTCAAACATGTATCTGAAGCTTGGAAGTTCTTGTCAGACAAGGAGAAGAGAGCAGCTTATGACCGTAAGAAGAGTTTAAACACCATGTATCAGAAGGTCTCAGTCTCATCTGCTAACAGCGGCTTCTGCAACTTCCCCAAGACTAACTTCACCTCAAACGCAAGAACCACTGCCCAGAAAAACAACCCACCGGTCCAGAAAAACAACCCACCGGTCCAGAAGAACAACCCGTCGGTTCAGAAGAACAACCCGCCGGTCCAGAAGAACAACAACCCGCAAAAACCAGTCGGTAACACACAAAAGCCAGCACGGGCCGATCATCATACAGCAACACCAAGCTCATTTACTGCACCTGTGGCATCGGAACAACCAAAGTCGATTACTTTCTGGACAGTCTGCAGGAGATGCATGATGCAGTACGAGTATCTCAGGACATATGTTAACTGTAAGCTTCTGTGCCCTAACTGTCTACAGTCGTTTCCAGCAGCAGAAGTGCCTATACCAGGTATGTCAAGCCGTTGGAGTAGTCTCAGCAGCCGTCTCAAGCGAAACCTCGATTCAAAGTCATCTGCGAATACTACTTCAGGTGTATTCAGCAACTCCAAGTGGACATTCTCGAGAGCAAGCAGTGCAGCTCATGCCGCAAGTGTGGTTCAGCAGGCTTATGAGAAGGTAAAGCAAGACCGTGAGGCGAAAGCAACCGAGAGAAGGGAAAAGAAGAATGCCAAAAGGAAGAGCTCTAGTACTATGACTGATTCGTCTGCTTCTGGTAAAAAGAGGAGAGTAGTAGTAGGAGAAACAGATATTGGTTGCTCTGGTGGAAGAAAGGTCACATATCATACCAATGGTGAAACTGGAAAAAACATGGAGAAGTTATCTCCCGGACCCAAGAAAAAGACTAGCAAGGAGGGTAAATCAAGGTCGAATGTAGCAGTCTGAATCAGGTGAAGGAGTTTTTTTATTTTTGTTTTGTTTTTGAGTTTATACAGGGATAATTGTGATGAATGTGTTTATTATTATTAGCTTCAGGCTATAACCAGACCTATCATTCTAGGTTATGTTTTGTATGTTTGGGTCATTTTGGTACTCTTTTGGTTCTAACATTGTAGAGAGAAGAGAGACATGGGTCTCTCTGGTAAATGCTCTGTTTCAGTGCTCTTAAAGGAAGAAGATGTACTTTAAAAAAGCTCTCACTATGTATTAGTTCTCATAAAAATCCGAATCTCTCTAACAAAACGTCAACGTCGTGAAGAGATAATTATGAAAACATAACAAAACGTTATCGTTAATTAAATAAAGCCAATATAAAATAAAAATGTGAGAGATAAATATTGGGTGGGATTTACGTAAACCTATTTCCATGAGCCCTAACCCTAATTGAAGCTAACTCTTTGTACCCATTAAACTAGAGAGGCGAGAGGAAGAGACACGTTTTTCTCTTCTTATACTTTGGAATCTGAATTCGAGAATTGTGATGATAGACGTGTATGCTGGACTTTTTGACAGCGAAAGTGATTCCGTAGATACGAGTGAAGACGACTCTAGTGTCTTGTTGTTTGCTCTGAATAAACCTCAAGCTGTTTTTGTGGAGAAATCTGGAAAAGATAATCTCGATTTGAACCAGAAACAACCTGCCCCGCAAATTCAGAACAACGTTTGGTCTGTTTTCGGAGATAGTAGTGAAGACGACTCGAGTGAAGAAGAAGAGAAAGACAAGCCTTGTCGGAACAAGGCTGGTACTGTGGAGAAGCCTCATGCGGTTGCTGTGAAGAAATATAGTCTCCTTCTTCAGGATCTCAATCAGAAGCCATATGCCTTCGAAAATCAGCAGAACAAGGCTGGTTCTGGGTCAAGGTCTCGGGTTATTGCTGTGGAGAAGCCTCATGCGGCCTCTAAAAGTCAGAACGATGGTTCTTGTTCACAATCGAAGCTTGAAACAGAGAGTCTTAAACTGAAGCTTGGTCTTCCTGCCAAGCGTCCAGTGGAAGATAAGGGCCAACATGACTACTCGAATACAAAGAGAATCAAGAATATTGTAAGTGGTAAAGATGTTGCAAACCTTATGAAGACAGAGACAGGAGCTAGTTGTTTTGGACTAGACGAATGGACTGTGAGTCAAGTTTGGGCAACTGAAGTTGATAAAGAGGAGAATAGAGAGTTGGTGGAGAGGATCAAGAACCTTCAAGAAGCACACTGGAATCTGCATTTGCAACAGGCTCAGCTTGGAGCTGATGTGACAAAAGTTATTGTGGATGCGCTGAGAAAGCGACATTGATTTTTTGTTATGCTTTTAGTTTCATGATTTATGCATTTTCCCTCTGTTACTTGTTTGGTTTTTAAGTTCTACATTTTTGATATTGCTTGTCTCTCTGATTTGGTCAGCTTTTGTTTTAGTTTCTCAGGTTGATGCGTGAGAGTTGCTGTAGAAGTTAGTGAGTTACAATTTTAATGTTGATCCCTTAGCGTTGAAGATGAATAAAGATCGATCATTTATTCATGTTTGAGAGTGAAGGTTTTAATAGTATCAGTGCTTAAAATGTCGTTAAAAGTTGAAACAATGGGTCTGAATCAATTGTAGGTTCTAGGAATCAAATTTAAAACCATCTTTTTGGTGGGTTTTCCAATAAAACGAAAGGTTTTCATTGAATAATCGATGTTGGACATGATGAAAATATAGTCATTAGCATTATAACATAATGTAATCATATACTCCAAATTAGGTAATCTAGCAAGCTTATCGATATTTGGATTTAGATTTGAATTTGTTAATTGGACATTATGTCTTTTTTTTTGTCAACTACCATCCATATATTAAATCAGTTTTGGATATAAGATTCGGGATCTATCGATTCCGTTTCTAATAACCGAATGTGATTTACATGGAAAAATGTAATACCTCGTGCTTTTGCCCTTTTTACAAAGGTATCAATTGGACATTATGTCTAGTAGCTAATTTTTGTAAACTATAATTTTGTTGACCTTTTAGGTTTGAATAAATAAATAAAAAATATGTTTTAAAAAGAAAAATATTATTGAGTTTGAATCAGAATCAAACAATCATAAATTCTTTTTTTACTTTGATGGTCAAAATATGAACAATGAGTCATAATGATCACATGAGTTAAATATCTCTATTATGGGAAAATCAGCTATTTCATACCTGAAATTTAGGTAGATGTTAAAGTTATATACGAATCATACAAATGTGCTAAATTATACTTCATCTACAAATAAATTTGAAATTCATACATAATCTTTAAATTTTGTTCTTAAACATACATTCGCATAAACGATGTTATGAATCTGTTATCTGTTGTAGATGTGGCTGTCATGTATGAAATGACGCTGTTTTACACAACATACACTTATACAATATTACAAAATGATGTGGTAAACTCAGTAATGAAACGATGTCGTTTTATTTAAAACGACCATTGTTAAATAAAGAACTCAATTTTTTCTTCTTTCTTTATGCAACTTAGAGTTTATTTCTGTGTTTTCTCTCTTTCTCATCGATGAGAAAACAGAGGGAATACAAAACGTCGTTGAAGCTTTGGGTAGTCTCTAAATCGAAATTGTTGTTAAAGTGGAGTTGGAGTTTTGATGTGATCATGAGCAGCAAGGATGAACATGTGGAAGCTGAGCTTGAACCTGCAGATACAATGCTTGTACCAGCAGCTGCTATGACTCGTGCTCGAGCTAAGATATCCATGCAAGGAATTGAAGGTTTACTTAACCAAATGTTCACATCCAAAGAGAATTCAGATTGAAATAAAGAAGACTCAACTCAAGAAGTCCTTATAATGGTCTAAGTCCAAGAAGAGCTCTAATGGGTTTGTGATTATTTGTAATCTTTTTCCTTATCCTTGGTTTTGTCCCTATGGGTTTTCCAGGAAAGGGTTTAATGAGGCAAATGGATCACAAAGTTATTAAGTCCAAAACTGCAAATGGTGAAAACTGTAAAACTGGTCCCTATAACACTAATTTGATCACTTCAGGTTTTGCAGTTCGACCACTCCAGTCTTCTAGGGCAATCCAGAAATTAGACTGCTTCAAAACTCACTTTTGAAGTTCAAAAGTCATTCAACTTATTTTTTCTTTAGTCTTTGTTTAGTTATTGCTTTGACCACGAGTTTGGCCATTGTCCTACTCATTTTCTTTTCTATTTAAACACATGTATTTTCATTTGAGAAAACAACCCTTTTTCATAAAACCTTTTGAGAGTGATACTCTTTGTTCCATGTGAACATATCGATCTGTTTTGGTGTGTTATATCCAGGGGATCAACCCGGTTTATAAAGTGTTCTTCATCACACTTGTGTGGCCATTCTACGAACTGAAGTTAGTTGTTTACGGTATAAGTTATTATCAGGTGGTGAGTTTCATATACTCACTATTGGAGCTACATGCATCACCTTTCTAAGGTTCCACCGCTTTTTCCTTTGGAGTTTCCGCTTCCATAGAATTAAAGGATCACCCCTACCAACTTTAGAGTGCAAGATCTTGGAGGATCGTATCAAGTTTGCATCTCATCTCTTCGGCTGTTGAAAGATAAGGTGAACTTCGAAATTAGAGTTTTATCATTCAACTTTGTGTATGGATTGTATATTATGGATATTGTCGTGTATCACTTTGATGAGATGAGAATATAATGTCTTAATAATGTCAGTTTGTTTTTGTGAAACACAATGCAATATCTGAACACAAGATGTTCGACAAAATTGCAAGTTCTGAAATTTTTTGTTTATTTTGTTGTTTCAGTTCTGAAGATGCAATGTTTCAAGTCTACTACAATGGGAAGTTTGTAATTTCAGAAGATAATATAACGACATATGTTGGAGGAGAGGTTCACACTCTTGTAAGCCCTCCGCAAGCCATGTTCACTAACTTGATGGAGTCTTTGAGCATGTCTCTGATTGGGCATAAGATTTGGTACAAACTTCTTTTTGAGGATGTCTCCGAGTTGAAGTTGCTGTGTAATGGTGATGCAACTTTTCAAAGAATATGTCAAGCTGTGTTGTGGACAAAAGCGGCTGATATTTTCATGGAGCTTCAAGATCCAACGATAGAGCTATGGGTGATGTAATTGAAAACAGAGGCGATTATCCTTAGAGCAGAGTTGCTGGTGATGATAATAGCGCTAACAGTGATGGCAATAATAACAGAGGTATTGGTGATGATGAATTGGTTGATGAAGAAGAGCATAACAATTCTGAGATTACTCCTCCATATTCAGATTCTGAAGATGGTGAAGATTAAAGACGATATTTGGGTGCAAAAAAGGAAGTGGAGATATTAGATTGGGTCAGGTATTCGATAGCATATCTGAATTCAAGGAAGCTTTGATTGATTATGCTCTTAAGGAAGGATATAATGTAAATTTCACTAGATGGGGATCTGATAAGCTTGAAGTGAGATGTTCACTTGGTGGTCGCAACTTCAAAATTTACTGTGCTTTTGAAAAACCAATACAAAGGTTTATGGTTAAGATTTTTAATGATAAGCATATATGTATGAAATGTGGGTTTAGCAAGGTAGTGAAAGATGGGGTCATTGAAAAATTGTTCTTGAACGAGATTAGAAAAGATCTTACCTACAAGCCGAAGGAAATTCAAGATGCACTTGAAGAGAAATACAACTTGGTTGTCTCAAATGATTAGTTTTGTTTTTATGTGTCTTTTGTGATGATCTTTCAGGGTTTTAGCCTTTTAGGTGTTGATGAGGCAAGATTGGGTGTTTGATGAGGCGGCAATAGGTGTTGTGGAGTAGGTTTTCCTGGTTTCAAAGCTTGTTTTCGGTGTTTCATTTTTGGTTTTCAACAACATTTGTTCGATTTAGAGTACGGCGTTTGATACTTCATATTGGCATTATTGTCTGGATTTTGGCATCTTATTGCCGTTATTCTGAATTTTTGGCTTCGTTGCTTCAGTTCTATGTTCAGGATTTTGGCTTTTTATTGCCTCAGTTTTAAGTTCAAACTTGTTATTGGCATTATTGCTGAACATGGATTGTCATTTTATTGGTTGTTATTGGCATCATTTATCTTCGTATTGCATCAGTTTTATGTTAAAAACCTGTTTCTAGTCAGGTGAATCTAAAGGATTATGAAACCCAAAGGAGACGATCATTATTATTCAAACTAAACTCAAATTAAGATTCAAAATCAAATTCAACCACAAATTTCAAAATTTATATTCAAACTCAAAGAACAACTCGTCAACTGCTATGGAAAGATG